TGTGGATGTCGCTGTCTTCCCTTTTCTCCCCTTCTCTTTCCTTTCCATTTTTTCTCTTTCCTTTTCTCCCGGATCCAATCTAAAGTATCCCTCGGAGGCCCTGATCCCCCGCGATTGGGTCCGGAACCTAGCATATGCATACCCGTCTAAGACTCCATGGGCATTTCTTAGAGGCATATAGGATATTCATGATATTATCCTGTTGTTTTTCGCCGCATGAGTGGTGATGCACGATTCTTGTAATTACGAGAGGAATTTTCAGTCTTTGCTTTGTTTTACCTTATTTATTCCCTATTTCAACATTATATTTAGATCTAGACCATCCATTATTCCCTTACAAATCCTTTCCTTTGCTTATTCTTACTTGTTAATATACTACGGTTCTCGCTCCTCTTGTTCATCCATGTACGTAAGTTTCCTCTAGTATTCCTCCATCCTCTGTTATTAATGTAGAGACGATACTCCTACCTCGGCTCCGTGATTTGTACCAACTCTATACAAATGGGCCCTACCCAGCCATGGCTAAACGTCTCGCGATGCGCTCGCTCCATCTCATGGCTTGGGTAAGCTGGAATAGGAAATCAACACTTTTTCGAGATTGCTACATCTCTAGAGCTTACCGCAGCTCCCAGGCGTGGCTATCTTTCACTTCCTTCCTGATACAGCCTGGGGCTCCTCCCGGCGGCCGCCATCCCCCGTGGTCAGTGCTAGGGGCTTGACACACCATACCGGGATTCACGGGCGTCCTCTAATGGTAGGGTGAGGATTTTTGATTTTATCCTATTTTTGTTCGGCGTATGGGTGAATACGTGCTGTTCCTATAATTATTCTGTGAATCTTCTACCTTTGCTCCCGCGTTTACATTATTTCTTCTTGATATCCATTTTGCATTTATATTTATATTGGCCGATGTTTCACGCTTATAGATCATTTTTGCCGACTCCTTACCGCTCCTAACTACCTCTACCTCTCCTCCCGGCGTTGCATGTATCATACTCGTACTTTACCGCGGTCCCATCCGCCCACCCCATCACTGATTACCATAGAAACGACAGTTCAACCACCACCTGCTAATGAATACCAAGACAAGAGAAAATGTTAAATGGACCGAGAAAGGAGGTAGCGGATGAGCGGGTTTGGCAAAGGTCGGAGAGTCGATTACCCCTACACTGCGAACTCTACCAACGGTGAATGTCGAGAAGGGAGAAGCGTACCCGAAGCCGATCCGGGAGGGTGTGTTAGGTGCGGCACACGCCAGGGGATATGTCAGTATACGCGAAAAGGGGAGAAGAAAAGATGAAAGTGAGTTGTGCGCTCTCGTAGATACCAGGGCGGGTGTGATAGGGTATGAATCCGCAGGAGCCCCGAGAGGTTGCGGCCCCCGTGCCCGATTTAATTCCATGATGGCATGACCTCACTCTGCAGTTTCAACGTTTGCCTACACTCCTTCACTATATGCACAACAATAGAGGAAACTTTACTACAATTCCTCCATCCTATTCCCTGATTCTCACCCGGCTACCCGGAGTAATTAGATTATATCGTGGACATCGCTATTTGCTGGTACCGAAAATATCGAGTGAATAGAGAATGTTGGTGCCATCAGGCATGAGATAGATAGGTGAGGTATGGCCACTTTTCTATAATAGCCTATACTTTTCCTGGGGAACTTGGGGACTGAAGCTGGACTCTCCCGGATGGCTCCCACCATTTACTGCTCCGCTATTACTTTGCCCTCTCGGACAAACCCAGATCTCGCCTGATTTAAGGTATTTACTGGATATTGCAGTGCACGCGCGGGATGCTATACCCGGATAAGAGGAGGAAGTTAAAATGTTGGCGAGACGGCACTTGTCATCCCCGGCGGATCTGAATAATCGCTCTCGTCAAACAGCAGTCTCGTGGGCTCTTAGGAAAGGGCATGAAGGAATGGTCAAGAAACTTCATAGCCGGGGATCAGCTCAGCTCAGCAAGACAGTTGGATCGTGGGGTAAGGCGCTGCGAGTGATGGATACGATCCTGGGGAGGAGATACCGGTATGTGAATTCCAACAGCCCGGGCGGGTGTGGCCGTGCACCAACCCTGCCGGCTGCTGAAGACCGGCAAGAGGGGTAGTGAAGGTATAGTTGAGATGGAAGGATGTCAGACCGGGTCCAGCTGACGAACACAGTCGTACACCTCCCTTATGGGTATCTAGTACTCGAGTAAAGAGCACGAGGTGGTAATGAAGCTGCTCCCCGCGGTGGAACGGGGGCGCCAAGATAGATAGACTAGGGGCCTGTTTGGATGTCCGGTGATTGAAATCCATGAGATTAGGGATCCATGGATTGAAGAACAGAAATCAAGAGATTGGAATTTATTTTAGTGGTGCCAAGTTAAAAAATATAGTTGGTGGAAATTTTATGTACAAGGGCAGGCTTAAAACGGGATGTGTTACATGAAACCGAAGACTTAAACATTGGTGAAAGGAATGATGTTGCACTCGCTTCTGTGCAATCTCGGGAATTTTTACCTCTGGAGGTAAAACTTGAATCTCAGAGATTACAGGGATGTGACAGGGATTACAATCTCTGAGAAGTGGACAACTAAACACACCAAATATTGAGATTCTCAGAGATTGCCAAGAAACTCAGTACTCGAGTATTGTGTTGCAACCGCCAAGAATCTCTGTAATATCATGGACATCCAAACAGGCCCTAGATATACCACCAAGCGCCGATCATGGCTACTAACGGCTGGTACATGTATAGTGGGGGGGGGGGGCTACCTGAAAAATTTTACGGCCAAACATCTGCCCTCGCAATATAGTTTCTCCTCTAAAGCAAAGGGAAGTGGTTCCCATTTAACCATTTAATGTTACACAAGGTAAATTTCCAATAATAGGGACTTTGCGAAAAGACTCTGGATGTGGGTCAAACAGGGTTCTGGGCCAATGAGATCGCTAGAATTTGACTCTGGATGCGAAATCGCAAAGTCTCTAATAAGGAACGACGAGTCGTAAAATTGGCCATCATGTGATATATGAGTAATCACGCATATGAGACATCAGAAAGGGGACACGAGTAGGTTTTAACAACGCCATCGGGAGTGAATGATTTCAACCCAAGACGCGCGGAAGAGCTAGCGAGATGCCACTCCCACCAGCTGCCGGCAAGGTGCATGGCCGAGTAGGAAAGCTACCGCTAGGAAAGAGAGACCTCAAACCCGATATGCCAGATCGTCGTGGTCGAACACCGCTCCTGTGGGCCGCAGGGAACGGTCGTGACGAGGTAGTGAAGCTGCTGTTGGGACGAGAAGACGTTAACTCCGATATGCCAGATAACCGTAGCCGAACACCACTCTCGTGGGCTGCCGGGGGA